CTCATCCTATTGCAGAGACACTTGAACATCCATGTTTGTTGCTGCTCTTTTCACAATAGCTAAGAGATGGAAGCCACCTAAGTGTCCCTCAGCTGACAAGAAGATAATGAAAATATGGTTCATTTATATGATGGAGTTCTACTCAGCAGTAAAGAAAGATGAAATCATGAAATTTCAGGTAAATGGATGGAACTAGAAACTGTTATACTAAGTGAAGTAACACAGACTCAAAAAAAACACAAAAAAACAACAACAAAAAAACCCAACGTATGTTCTCCCTCATACGTCGATCCTAGCACCAAATCCTAATAAGTAATTATGTATTCGGACATAACTACAGGAACCAGGATAATGAAAAGGAACCAGGGAGGTAAAGGAAAAGAAAGAATCTGAAAGAGAAGAACAGTAGGAAACAGGCGTTAATAAGGGAGATATGGATAAAAATGGTGTTATTTTAAGGGGAGCGGGGAGGAAAGGTTATACAAGGAACCTAGGGGATAAAAGGAAAGAAGGAGCTCAACAGAGTTGGAACCATAGGAGAAGGGTATCACTAAGGGAGAAATGGGGGGCTGGAGAGATTGCTCAGTGGTTAAGAACACTGTTCTTGCAGAAGACCCGGGTTCGAATCCCAGCACCACATGGCAGCTAACAACTGTAACTCCAGTTCCAGGGGATCCAACAGCCTCTTCTGACCAATGTGGGTATTGCACAACACAGGTGCACTTTCCTACATGCAATACATGCATACACATAATTAAAAATAAATAAAATTTAAAAAAAAAGGGAGAAATGGGAAATATGGGGGCACCTTAAATGGGGAAACCATGGTGGAATGGTTAGATAATGTGAGAGATAAATAATGCCTAGCCAGCTAGGCAGAGGGAACCGTATTATACATACAAATGTATACTGACAACTATACATACAACGAGATCAAGGAATATAATATCTGTCTAGGCAAGGTTTATCTGAGGATGTTTGGTCTTTTCCCAAGTTTTATCTACATGGCACATGGTAATTAAAAGTACCAAACTGGGCCGGGCATGGTGGCACATTCCTTTAATCCCAGCACTTGGGAGGCAGAGACAGGAGGATCTCTGTGAGTTCAAGGCCAGCCTGGTCTACACAGTGAGTTCCAGGCCAGCTGGGGCTAC